TACCTACACAACTATACTTAATAAATTCGAGTTCAGAAATGGTGTGTTTGTTGTTCAACGCTTTGCACGATTCTAACGATGTTCCCTGGAAGTGATTGAAGCTGGACCAGTGATTAAAAACATGTGCATTGATATGCACAACTGGGACAAGACGACATGCAACATAATTACCAGTGATTGACATCGTGAGCATCCATCTACTCAGTTTAGATACGATGACATGTGTCAACCAAGTCAGCGAGCCTGATCACAGGATCCAGTTAGACGCATCTTCCGACAACCATGGTTGCCGAGCACCAACTATAACTCGTTGCCGCGCTGTACGTTGATACAGACCCGTGAAGATCCGGGGTAGAATAGGTCTTCAGCAACCCATTCTTGCCACAAAAGGCGACTATGCTTGTCGTAAGAGGCGACTAACGGGATCGGGTGGTCAGGCTCGCTGACTTGTTGACACATGTCATCGGTTCCCAATTACGCAGATCGATGCTCATGCTGTTGATCACTGGATTGTCTGGTCCAGACCCGATTTTTTACAGACCGCAGCCATATAGCTGAAACATTGTTGAGTGCGGCGTAAGACTAAACTCACTTACTCACTACGTTAATGCAACAAACATCTGTCACCTACTATTAACTGATCTACAAGCTTAGTGCGACAATATTACACTCACATTTTGATGAATGAAGCCGTACACTGTATACCTGATATACTAACTACGTGACACAAAACACTGCATACCTGTCATTCTAAGAACGTGACACAAAACACTGTATACCTGATATTCCTTGGAGTCAACTTTGTGTGAAGACTCTTTCAGTGTTGTCACAAACCCCTAGTGTACAGTACACAACCCTGTGTACTTAAAAGAACCCACGAATCCGTTGGTATATGACCAGATGGTGGCCACATGAATACGTGCAAACACCTAGTTGCGGGTACAGCAACCTGCAGTAAACTTGGACAAAGTACTGTGACTATGTGTCCCAGTCCACCCAGCTGTGAATGGGTACCTCGTTAGGATGGGAAAGCCACAATAACTCGGTGCGCCTAGTGGTTGCAAGAGTTGTATACTCCCCAGGGAGTTGAGACTGATAATACGATGTGTCGTTGAGATTGACATCTAATGATCGAGGGGAAAAATACCAGCGCCTTGAGCATGCACTAGTTGCCTTGATATGTGCGCTATATAAATATCCTATAATAATAAGAGCGTGACACAAAACACTCTCTACCTCACATTATGAGCGTGACACAAAACTCTGTATACCTCACATTCTAAGAGCGGACACAAAACACTCTGTACCTCATATTCTAAGAGCGTGACACAAAACTCTACACCTAATAGTCTAAGAGCGTGGCACAAAACACCCTATACCTCATATTCTAAGGCCATGACACAAAACATTGTATACCTCATATTCTAAGAGTGTGACACAAAACACTCTATACCTCATATTCTAAGAGCGTGACACAAAACATTGTATACCTCATATTCTAAGAGCGTGACACAAAAACTCTATACCTCATATACTAATGTGAGCAGATGTTCGTGGATGAAGTTTCTGCGGTGTTAGGGTGTATTCTCGCAAAGAAAAAACTTGTAAGTAGAGAAACCTCTTACGAAGAAGATACTTCCGTTGGGTTCTAGCACATTCATTACAGAATTATCTTTATGTTAATCCTTAAAGGGTAATCCTTTAAGTAGAAAAAACTGTTATCTAGATTCATTTCCTTCGTTCAAAGAACTATGTGAAATAGTAACTTAGACTTGAAAAGGAGGAAAGCAGTTTCAATCGTCGCTGGTTCATTAGAAAACCCGGTTAAGTAGATAAATGGCTTTTTCCAGTTTCTTTCATTTTCTACCTGACAATGTTTCACTGTCTGTATGCAGCCTGCAGCATTGTGTGGCAATAATGATGCTGATAGCGTGACGACAAATATTGTTTACTTAGTACTAATGTGAAAAGTTTTATGAACTTGCAAGAGTTTGGTCATTCACCAAAGATTATGTGCATGTAGACTGGAAATTTAAACTTTATTGTACTGATAGTTATCGTATGACAAAATCACAGTATGTCTCTAATGTACTTAGATTTAAGCCATTGCAAGAGTTTGGGCCTCTGTCAAAAAATGTATGTACACAGATTGCAACATTTTAAACCTTGATGATACTGGCTGTTATAATATGACAACGAACGTTGTGTAAATGTAATTAGGTTTATGTCACTGGATCAGTTTGGTCCTTCATCAAAGATTGTATGTACACAGACTGCAACATTTTAAACCTTGATGCTACTGATTGTTATAATATGACAACGAACGTTGTGTAAATGTAATCAGGTTTATGTCACTGGATCAGTGTGGTCCTTCATCAAAGAGTGTATGTACACAGACTGCAACATTTTAAACCTTGATGCTACTGATTGTTATAATATGACAACGAACGTTGTGTAAATGTAATCAGGTTTATGTCACTGGATCAGTGTGGTCCTTCATCAAAGAGTGTATGTACACAGACTGCAACATTTTAAACCTTGATGCTACTGATTGTTATAATATGACAACGAACGTTGTGTAAATGTAATCAGGTTTATGTCACTGGATCAGTTTGGTCCTTCATCAAAGATTGTATGTACACAGACTGCAACATTTTAAACCTTGATGCTACTGATTGTTATAATATGACAACGAATCATCAAATTTATCAAAGACTGTAAACAAATTGCAACATTTTAAATATTGATGGCATTGGCAGATATAACTTGACAACAATTATTGTGAACGTGATACACAAATGTAAGTAGGTTCAATTCATTGCAAAGGTTTGGGCCATAATCAAACAGCATATGTACGCAGACTGCAACATACATTGATAATACTGACAGATATAGCGATACAAAATTGTTGCATATTTAGTACTAAGTAATGTGAGTAGGTTTATGGCATCAAAACAGATGCTGAGCCTTAATCAAAGATTGTACGTACAGAGACTGCAACATTGTATGAGATTAATGATACTGGTATAGCGTGACAAAAGTATTATATCAATCAATCTTTATTCCGGTACTGAAAAGGCCTCAGGTCTATAGTACACCATATACATTGCTTTATACACGTTCAAGGAACAATATGTTTTCTATGTACAAATGAGTAGAAAATATACATGGACAGGTTTTCAATTTCTTTAGGATTTGAACTGTTTAGCAGTAGTGAAAACTTAAGCCTGTTTGGATGGACATAATATTTTTCTCTTATATATTTGCTTCGAAGACTACTGTAGTTAGGGCATACAAGAAGAAAAGGATACTCGTCTTCAATTGCATTTGTATTACATAAGTTACAAGTTTAATGTTCTCTATCCATATTTACATACATGTATCTACCTTTCTCGATTAGAAGTTCATGAGATGAGCATCGGAATCGTGTTAAACGTACTCTATACTTTTTTACATTTAAACATGATAGATAGAATTCGGTATGGATATTGTTTTTAAACATTAGGTAAGTGTCACATTGCTTGAAATAGATAATTTATCTTGCCAGTTTTGAAAATAAATATCTTGTACAAAAGTATTGTATCGAAGTACTAATATGAGGCGGATTATGAAATCCCAAGAATTTAGACCATTTTCAAAGATTTATGTACACATGCTGCAACATTGTACGGTATTAATGATACTGATACAGCATGACAAAACTAATGTATTCTTAGTACTAACGTCACTAGATTTAGGATATCGCAAGACGTTAGGCCTTTAACAATGATTGTATGTACATAGACCGCATCATTTTTCACATTTTACAGTGTGACAAAAAAACTGTAACAGTTGATACTGATGTAGGTTTATGGCATCGCAAGAGGTTAGGCCTTCATCAAATATTGCTGCAACTTTGCATGACATTAATAATACTGATTAATGACAGATATAGCGTGACACAAGTATTGTATTGTTGTACTAATGTCAGCAGGTTTATGACATCGCAAGTGGTAAGGTCTTTATCAATGATTTATATAATATAGGCAGACTGCAACATTGTGTGACAACACTATCTGTATATCGGACATATTCGTTTCCTCTCGTGGTACATGCTGATTGTTGCTCTGTTTATCGACCGATGTTGTCGTTACAGGAGACATCTGTTTGACTTATTTTCTGTCATGATGCTTGCACTTTTCGTTTTATGCATTTATATTGCTTTTATGCATATCAAGATTCTGTTAATGGAATCTTTTTTCTGTTTTTCGACATTTAAATTGTTTAACATGAGCGATGGGCAGGAAGTCATCATGGTTTACATTTTATATTGCCAAACAAGCATCGTTCTATCACGAATATTGCTTTGTTTAGCAACGCGTTTGCTTGATAACATTTCTTATCAAAGGCTGCTTCCAGAAATCCCCAAAGGATTGTGTTTTTACGTTGTTATTTTAATTTGTTTTTTTGCTTGTGCTCCATAACATTGATTATTAAACGCTCTCCTTCAAGCTCCAGCTCTAAAATACGTTGACTGTTGAATTATTTATGAAGCTGTTCGAAGGATGTTTGATTGAATTGTTTACATTTGAATGCAGATCACTCTGCATTGGAGGCGAAGCATTTTCGCTATCTCTGTTCAGCTTTAACGTGGCTTCCAAACAGTGACATGGTAGACATGTGGTGGATATTTCCTTTGACGCACCAGTGACAAAAATCATGCCCTGTGCATTTCCTATTTTGACTTGTACCTGTTGTTTCGTTTAAGGTGAATAATTGACTTGCCTTTGCATGTGTTTGTGATGACTATTTTGTATCATTACTGGTTGATAATGATTCACTAATGCACGCTCAGGGGCGGATACAGCTTTTTGAGAAAGGGGGTGCACACTTCATTTTCACCAGAGTTTCAATGGTCATTTAATAAACTTTCAGGACAAAAGGGTGCACCCACGCAAAAAAAACCCTGGATCCGCCTATGCACACGTATGATGTAATGGGACTCGTGGTCGACTCTGCTTTCAGGAATGATTTCTTATGACATTTATGGAAAGGTCTGTTGTGTTGTTTTCTATATATTCAAATGAAACTTGGACTCACCTGAAGAGCGTCTGGAATGTGTACCAAGGCCATGGATCCGGAACGAAGGAGGAATTGAGAACTCCGTACACTCCGAAAACTGTGTACAGTTGCAACAGACACGCAAACATGAATAGGAATGTAATTGAATAAGTAATATGGACAGCCCTCTGAATCATTTTACTCTGTCGAATTCTCAACAAACTTATTGAGGATGGTTTGGTTCTGAAATTCACAGACAATGTACTGCTGTTTCGTTCAAGGTCGGTACTGTCAAAATCCTCCAAGATTGGCCTACACTGCTGTTTGTCTCGAACATCCCTCGTGTTCCTACATCTGGATTTAGGAGAGTGGAAGACTATTTCCGTGTCCGCCATGTAACCATTCTCCAGAGTTCCTGTAGCTCCAGGTGTGCGATTACGCCTAATCCTTTTACAGTCATCTTCGGAGTCTGGGTCTGACGCACAGTTTACTGTCGTCTGCCTCTGGATCATAGGTCGTCTGCTCTCCTCGTCGTCAGATAATGACTGGAAATCGGAAAATGTTTGCAGGGGGTGTGTAATTGGTAAACCGTCAACGCCCGTTGAAGACTCCGAATTTGCCTGAGGAGGTGTCTCCTCGTCGGATAACAATACCTCTGTCTCCGACCGATCGCTCCCCTGTTCCTGCGGGGGTTCCACGCCATCAGATGTAGTCAATTTCTTAATTTGTATCCTACCGTCTTTTTTTGTCCCGTTTCCATTTTCGTCCGATGACGACGTCGTGTCTACGTCAGTAGCTATAGCTATTGTCATATGGTTCTCGTCAGTTATGCGAAGTTTTGGACGGGATAATCGTAATGAGCTTGACGACTTGCTTGTTCTCACCCCTGGCTGGACTCGCCTAGTGCTAAAATTGCCCAATTCCTTTCTAACCCTTTTAGTCTCTGACGCATACTGCGAGAGCCTGAATCCATTACAGATAAAACTGATGCATAGATATAACGATAACACGATAAAAAACCCGCTGTCAATAATGAGCAAAAGCTTGGCTTTGACTTCATAGAACACTATGACTTCTGCTAAAACTATGCAAAAGAGGTAGGATAAAGTCGATGCGAAGAGATACGTACAACTTCGGAGTTTGCTTTTTCCCACATCAACCTTGGTCATTCGTAACAGCATGATCTGAATGAGTCCGAACGAGGCACAGAGGAAAGGGTAAATAATCTGCGACAACACTCCAACAAACACTCCAGAGAAGTTCCTGGAATACCCATACGGATCCACGGTAAGGTACAGAATCCGGAACAGTCCCGAGAGGCACAGCAAACACGTCGTGTTTAGGACAATTTTCGATCTTCTGATTCTCTGATAGAATTTGAACACAAGACCCACAGATAGCAGGGAGACTGTTAAGAAGAGGAGGGAGAAGCCGTAGACGTGGAACGGCCATGCACGGCCCCACTGTCGAGACGCCAAGTCCCACTCAGGCACAGGTAAAACTGGATTGCCCACACGTGCATCCCTGAAACTCCCGTTCACATTGTTCTCGGTTGAAGCGAGTGGTCGGGACAGATGCGCGTGAAATGTAGCAACATTGTCCTCGAGAAACATACAAAAGTCGTGGACTTTCAGAACGAGCTAAACTCCGTATCCTGACACCTTCCTGGTCCCAAGCATCCGGTGTCTCGTTTGATGTAGTCGAGTCTGCACAGGTATTTCATTCATTAGCCGGTGTCTGGCCAATCAATACACCCATGTGATTTGATCCGCACAAACACTGTCATGGTTTTATGTTGGTTACCCTGTAATTACGTCGACTGTATTGACCGGCAGCACAGGCACGAGTTACCGTGTGCGGGCACGACTCGACACCGGCGCATCTCCTCGTGTGCGTGACGACCACAAATCACAGGTATCGATGGTATTGGCTGCTTGAAAACCAAATGATAAAACTCAATAGTTGACCGGCGCTATGTCGTGGAAAATGGTGTGTATTCAAGGGCTTTCCAGCACAATGCTTAACCACTTAATTCTTTCAAAGCGGACTGAACTTCAAAGGAAAGACAATCCGTGTGAGGCAAGTAACGTAATTTACAGCATGCGTGCTTGTGGGTTCGGCGGCGATATTCCTCCCCCCTGTGTAGGCACCACAATGCCATGCCTCCACTTCAGCCTCGGAGATTCTAGCAGACTCCGGTTCCCTGACTCTCATCGATCCACCACTCGCCCTATGCTCACAGCTACTCACAGAGAATGCTTATTTTCATCGTCTGAATCGGCTCTTTATTTGTGTGCCAGAGAAAGGTCTTACAATTCAGTCAGTGGTAAAATGTTTACTTTTATGAACGAAGTCAAATACAGTTTCCCTTCTCGTTTGTGTCAGCACATACGTGTTTGTAGTAGGAGTTCCTGATGAAAATAAGATGACACCGGTGCTCCTGAAATTGAAAGTTTAAATACAAGGGTCTGGTTTCTGCTTTGTGAGCGGATATCTCATCAACGGTTTGGGTACAGTGTCAGTCCAATCAGATGATTATGGAATTTATTTATTCATCGCATTTCTTTTCTATTTAAGCTTGTGTCGACCCGGATTAAAACACTTGGGAAATCCACTTGGAATCAATTGCAAGCGAAATGAAAACCCTTCCTTCATATTTAATGCAACCAGGGCGGTATGACCAATGTGTAATGAGATAACAAGTGAGAAGGTTGTATCGGAAAGTGACTGTTAGTCACTGGGTGGGTCGTGGATAACGCCCTTAGATTAGTGATGTTTGGATTATGTTACCATCGACCTGAGCGTTTGTGTTATGAATATAAATAGCAAAAATACGGGGAATTGTTTATAGTTACATAAAGGATCCGTTTCTATATATACCGCCGTTGTGTTCTGTCTGTTCAGGGGCGGCTGGGTAGCCTAGTGGTTAACGCGATCGCTCGTAACGCTGAAGACCCGGGTTCGATTCCCCACATGGGCACAATGTGTGAAGCCCATTTCTGGTGTCCCCCGCCTTGATATTGCTGGAATATTGCTAAAAGCGGCGTAAAACTAAACTCACTCACACTGTCTGTTCATTCATTGATCTGGTTACCCAGATTATGCCAGAGTAATACGAGACACGGTCGCCGGTGGTTTAAGTCTCTTTTCGGCGCAGGGTCCGCTAGGCGTGTGTTTGAATCCAGTGTCCGCCCCTATTGTGACTTATGATCTGATAGCACCGTTCCTATTCTTGTTAGACCGACGAATGTGGTAGACATCACGCCCTGTAATACTTTGGAAATTCCTTCGAAGTCCAAATGACACGTCTTGGTGAAAATGAATAGAGCACATTTCAATCCCTCAACACTCTCTCCACACGACGATACAACGACCGATTCACGATTTAATGTACGTGGTCAGCTCAAGAAAAGGTTAGGCCTCGTTCAGGTCAGCAGACCGAAAACAAAATTAAACATCATTCCAATATTATGTATTCTATTTTATAAATTGCACCGTTTTTTAATTACTTAGTTATTTCTTGTCTGCAAAATAAATACCTAATTGTTGATGATTTTTTTCTCAGATGTAAACGTCTGCCTCAACTGAGCAGTGAAAAAATAGCAATGCACTTTACATCAACATAATTTTTTATGCTTATTATACAAATAAGGAAGATATGTTTCCCTTAGATCACAAACAAAGTGAAAACATATTTTCACCTTGTCGCTACTATTACAGAGATTTCTCATTGATAATGCGTTTCAATAAATTCTCATCTCGCACATGCATAATGTTTAGCGCTAATGCCCCTGACGCCACAGAAACATTACGTCACACTCTGCGCACTTATGTCATGCCTGAGGAAGAAACCAGGGGATCAAGTCTACATCCTGTGGATTGTGGGGAGGGGGAGTCTGCAATACTATTTCGTCTGAATTGTCGAGCCGAGCATGGATATATGTTGTATAACGTCTTGTATCTGACCTGAAGCTTATAAATAAACCTATTACCTTGACACTAACATATGCAGGACACGTAATGTTAAACATTATGGACTACCGTCGTTTGAACAAGAAAACAAATTATCAGGACAGAGGACTTCTTTGAATAAATCATCTTTCTGGCTTTAATGAGAATGGGAATGGAATTGCAACAACATCTAAGCTTCACGAGAGACGGAAAAACGATTATGGGTTAAGGAATCATGTATGCAAATGAGGAGGCGATATGTATCAGTTACTCGACCACGCACTGTGATAAGGAGGCCTTGCACGTAATGGTTTCATTTTCGGATACACTGAACGAACAAACAACTTTGTGAGTTGAGATACATTATTTAGTCAGTTACAATATTTTCAGATTTATTTTCACTTTTGATTTTCATATTCAATGTCACGTTCCTGTTTGTTTGTTTTTTGTTTGTTTGTGTGGTTGATTGTTTGGTTTGTTGTTTAACGCCGCATTCAGCAATATTCCAGCTATGTGGGAGCGGTCTGTAAATAGTTGCCTGGACCAGGCAATCCAGTGACCAACAACCTGCGCATCGATCTACGCAATTGGGATACGATGACATGTGTCAACCAAGTCAGCGAGTCTGACCACCCGATCCCATTAGTCGCCTCTTACGACAAGCATGGGTTACTGAAGACCAATTCTAACCCAGGTCTCCATGGGTGTTTGTTTGTTTGTTTGTTTGCTTGTTTGTTTAATGCCGCATTCCAGTTACTTGACAGGGGTCAATGAAGCCTTGAGTCTTGACCAGACCTCCTAATAGTTGCTGCCTACGACAAGGTTGCTGAAGATCAATTCATAGCCAGATGTTCACAGATCACGTTCTCTGAAATGTTAACGAACAGCAAAATCCCTTTTAACCGATCCCTGTGATATTAACACATGTAAGGATAAACAAAACTAAGATACGAAATATTTTCCATGTGTGAAAAACAATCCGGTTGACACAGTGACATTCAGGATACAGGGGATATACGCCGTGTAGCCTACTTATTATCACAGCAAACCGAGGGCATCGTTTTACAACAAATCATTTCTCTATCAGTAAGTTATGGTATAACGTATATGACTGTGAAATCCGTTTTCCTTTCGTGTATGTGTTGAATTTTAGGGTTGTTGTTTGTTTGTTTTTGTTTAACGCCGCACTCAGCAATATTCCAGCTATATGGTGGCGGTCTGTAAATAATCGAGTCTGGACCAGACAATCCAGTGATCAACAGCATGAGAATCGATCTACGCAGTTGGGATACGATGACATGTGTCAACCAAGTCAGCGATCCGGACAACCCCGTCCCGTTAGTCGTCTCTAACGACAAGCTTCGGTGGCTGAAAATCAATTCTAACCCAGGTCGTCAAACGTATGAGTGAGACGACTGACTGATAGGTTGGGAAGGGAATGTCGGTAAGAGATTTCTTTTTTTCATAATTGTTTGTTTATTGCATTTTTACTGTAGCGCATGCGAGATTTCGTCAGTCCACGTACAAGTAAGACCAGATTTCAAGGGAAGGTGGTAACATCACACTTGTAAGCGAGAGAGTCAGTGAATTGGGTTGTATTTGTTAAACTCGATTTGTACAGTATTACACATTTTATCACGGCGTAAAGTATAAGTAAGATGGACGGTTCTCGGGTGTGTGTGTGTGTGTGTGTGTGTGTGTGTGTGTGTGTGTGTGTGTGTGAGACGACGTTTGATTTTGTCACACGTGTATGTTAGCGGGTCAATACAGTTGTACGCCACTTCGAACAGTATACCAGTTACATTGCGGCGTGTCAACATCATGTGGGAGGAGTGAGTATGGTTTTACGCCGCATTTAGCAATATTCCAACAATATAACGGCGGGGGACACCAAAATTGGGATTTACACATTGTACCCATATGTGGAATCAAACCCGGGTATTCGTTGTGAAGAGCGAACGCTTTAGCCACTAGGCTACCCCCACGGCCTCGAATGTGGGAGGAAGGCCCTAGTGAAACATGATTCTAACATACAATCATCACACATGTTGGCTGATTGGTTGGTTTTTAACTCCGCACTCCAATATTCCAGCTATATGTCGGAGGTCTGTAAATAATCGAGTCTGGACCAGACAATCCAGTGATCAACATCATGAGCATCGATCTACGCAGTTGGCTTACGATGACAGAAGTGAACCAAGTTGGCGATCTTGACCATACGGTCCCGTTAGTCGCCTCTTACGACAAGCATGGGTAACTGCAGACCAATTCTAACCCGGATCTCCACGTGTTCATCACCCATGTAAATAGGAGAGTTGTTTCGGGTTATTGGAGATTAAGGATGCCCTTAGACTGTCCCCAAATAATTGAGGCTTGTTCACGCCGATGGGAAAACTACTGAAATCACGTGTTCAAACTTGTTGCTGTAAAAATCCCTCCTGACAAGATATATTTTTCTTTAAAAAATCACCAAGAATTAATTTAAATCGGTTTTGACAGGGAAAGAATATTTTGCTCTAAAAAATGTATTCCCGTGACAGTTGTAATGGCGGCTCCTAAAACTTTAGTTCCATTTTCGGGTGGTTTAGAATTCCTGCCATTCAGAACTAAAACCATTATTTCGAGATGCAAATAACCAGTACGGGATAAGCTTCAATTTGTGCATCATGTTTTATTGTGTGTCTAAAACAGAATTTCCGGACAACTCCGGTTGTTTCCGTTAATTCGGTCCCGAAAATCGAAACTGCTAAGCATGATAAATTTCGGTCAATTATCCTGATGGTCCTCCATTCAAATGGACAATTTGGCTGTCCAAGTGACTGGCTAATTTCATTTGTTACAGGGAAAGTGGTCTCGTACACTTTTTATCTGTAAATCGCCCTGTTGGCTATGAAGTAATTATCAATTTACACATTTTTCACTAAGAACCGCAAGTAATGAGGTCACATTAGGAGTCTTCCAGGTCACATCTACAGAGCCGGTTAGACGGAATTAACCTCTATTGGTTCAGGGAAGGTGAGGAAATTACGTTTATCCTTTGCACTGATGGAGGGATGGAGAGATTAGTGTAAATAAATCTAATTTGCTTCATCGCAAATGTTAACTTACACCCAAATAAGATTTGCATATGTTTCTGGTATTGCGGTTATTTCCAGCCAGTAAGCATGATTAGAAGAATAAGTTGGTCAAGCAGTAGATCGTGCTGTAAGCTGTTGGATTTGTACAGATATATACGTGGGAAGTGAA